TCTACACCTGTACATTGAATTAGTGGAGAGGAGCCATTTCCTACGCGTTAATGAAATTATTAATGCTTTTCCCGCGTCACATATTCTTGGTGAGCCACGAGATTTAATTTATATACATTTTCAATAAAAGGCTTTACCCTATGCTGGTCCAAAAAAAAAAGGCTTTACCCTAGGCTTTTGCCATTTTTATGGAGCCTTAGGGCGCGGGCGGCTGACTCAAGGGCCCCCCAAACCGCACGAAATGGTTGCCTTTTACATGGCTCATCAGGAAGATTTAAATATTTAAAAAACCGGGGCAAGCTGTTATTTTTTTCCTTTTTAAACGGGGTCCTTAGCTTCAGTTTACCACAAATGTTTTCTTTATAGCTGTAGCTGCGGTCATTTCCTTCTCCCCGTCTCTCCGTCTTCGCAGCGTCATTCTCTCCCATTCTTTTTTTTCGTGTTACAGATTATTTTGATAAGTAAAATTATTTCTAATTATAAAATTTTTTTAATAAAATTTATTTTATTTAGTTAGATCTATTTAATAATAGTAATTTTGTGTTGTTTAGAAAAAATTTTTTTATCTCAAGTTTAAAGTAAGTGTTAAGTTTTGATGAGTGTTAACTGTAGGATTATAGATATATTATAATAGATCATTTTTATCTGTTTAGATTTATCTATTTATTGGTTTTAGTATTTAAAAATTAATTTTTAGTTAAAAATCTGCTATTTATGAGATATACCATATTTATACCGATTAAAATTAAGTTAAATAATTTATTTGGATTATTTGACATATTATTGAGATTTTAATCGGTTTAGTTTTATTTATTTGGTGACTAGAAGTTTTAAAATAATTATTTTAGCTAAAAAGTCCATTATTTGTGGAAAAAAATAATTATACTATTAAAATTTTGATTAGATTATTTATTTATAAATATTTGAGGTGCTGTTGAATTTTTGATGATTTGGTGTAAGGTTGAAACTTCAAATGAGATTTTTAAAATTTTAAATATAATAATTTCATATTTAAAAATGTTGGAAAATTCTTTTTAGTAAAGTAAATAATCCGAAGGATGTAAATGCATAATTTGGCTTCTTGGAAAATTATAAGTCAGTGATAAAATACTTAATTTTGGGTTATGAAAGTTGTGAAAATTTAGAATGAAAATAAAATAAAATAAAATAAGAAATTTAACTAATATATAAGCTTAATTAATTAATTAATTAGCTTATATTAATATGTGGTTATGTTAAATGTGTAGATTAATTATTGGATTATTGGTTTGAGCACGGGGTTAACTTTGTGGTAATCTTTTTATAGCCTTAGTAAAAGGTAATTACTTTCCACTTGTTATATATGCTGTTATGATGTTTGTGAGTGATTTCAAATTACATGATATTCTTAAAATGCCATTAGGATGATTTGAGCAATGAAATGTATTATTGTTGAAATTGCCTTGAGATACTTTATGTTATTGAAAAAATAGTCATAAAATTATGAATTTATAAAGTTGTCATGTAGAACATGAATTTATTGAGAAATGATTTTGAAGATTGATGTTGATTGTTGAAATTTAGAAATCTTGATTTTGATAAATGTATTGGTAACTTATTATTTTATAAATTTCATGGGTATAAATACAAGAAGAGATGGTGAATATTGATTGATGGGAGGCATATTACAGAGAAAATAAGGGGTGAATTTTGTACATATTATAGAGGCAATTAGATAGTAGGACGCCAAATGTATATTGATTGATCATTTGGCCCTTTCGCATGTTGTAGGGCATATGACATCCCGTTAGTGGGCTAGAGGTGGAACCCATGATCCAGTCTTATGTTCTATGGATTTTGGCTTGTTCACATCACTTGATCAGTGAGCTTATTTTGTTGAGCTACTAGTCACATGAATTAGTACTAGCAAATGGGTTTAGTCAGAGGGAATAAGGTGTGCGGAAATAAGATGGAATTGAGAGTAAGATATTGTATTTATATATATAACCATGTGACAATTATAAATGTTATGATTTTTGTAACATTTCCACTTGATACCTTCCAAGCACTTGCTTATATACCTGATGAATAGGATTGTTGGCTCCAAAGACTTTTGCCTCACCCTATGGTTTAAAATTTTCAAGTAATAGCTCTAGGGCTGGTCCTTCAGGAAAGGCGGCAGAGGCTTAGCTATCAAGTTTGTCTTATATATCCTCATTTTTGTCATGTGATGAGTATTTATATATTGCCACATATACCTCTTTTTGCATACTCTCATGTATCTAAGAGTGATTGTCTTAGTTTCTTTTGCTGTAGGATTGCATGCTAGTAGAAGGCCAGAGGTTTTCAAGGGTTTGCTTGTGTTTTTAAGTTGTGAATCCACAATGACTTTTGAAAATAGTTAATTACTGTTAGTTTAGAAGAATTTTATTCAAAAAATATCATGTTATAAGCTTAGAGTTAAAAGTGATGTTCTGGACTTCGTAAAACCCAAGACCCAATTTGTTTAGTAAAGCCCAACACCCAATTTGTTTATTTTCATATCTAATGATTAGTTCAAGTATTTTCTATCATGGTTAACATTTATGACGAATCAAAATTTTTTTTTTTTATAATCATGGTAGCCTTTTCAAAGATTATATTAAGATTATTTCCTACGATGGTTAGTATTATTAAATTTTGAGTTTAAAAAAGTTAGTAACAAGTTGGAAATAACTATTGTTACAGCTCAAGTGTGTTAAGATTCATGGTGCAGCGAGCCACATCGTCCTCTCGTATCTTTCACAAATAGACTTATGATGTGTTTCTTAGTTTTTATGGTGATGATACTCACTTAAGTTTCATTGGCCATCTCTATGAAGCTCTACGTCAAAGGGGAATTCATGCCTTTATTGATGATGAATTCATTAGGATAGGGGAAGAACTCACACATGCTCTTTTCAGGGCTATAGAAGAATCAAGAATAGCCATCATAGTTTTTTCATAAAATTATGCAAACTCAACATTTTGTTTGGAGGAACTTGTAAAGATTTTGGATTGCTTCAAGGAAGAAGGCCGGTTGATATATCCAATCTTCTATTATGTGGAGCCATCAGAATTGCGACGACCAAGAGGAAATTACGCAGAGGCATTGGCTCGATTGGAGGAACGATTTAAAGACAACAAGCTGAAGGTGGAGAAATGGAAGAGGGCTTTGTCTGAAACTGCTAAACTCAAAGGCTGTCATCTAAAACCAAAGTATATACATCTCCTTATATACCCGTTTCCCTTTTTTTTTGGTAGAGTTAATTCGAATTTCCATGGTAGTATAAGGAGTTACTTTTTTTTTGTATTTTATTTTTCTAAAGAAGATAAACAAGAATCAAGCATGCCCTATACTTCCCTCGATAGCAGCTAAATTCGATTAACTAGAACACAATCAATTCACGTGATTACTTTAATTTTTTTCCTAATAATTGCAATTGAATTTAAGGTCATGATACCACACTTGCATATATCATCACTTATTGTGTGAGGAATGAAACTGCTATTTTTAATATAGAAGATTGGGTTAAAAAAAAGTTTTTATTTCTAAATTGACACATTGAATAGTTCGACTAAAAGTAAACTTCTTACGTGTTGGTTAGGATTGCAAAAGAACAAGAGTGTATTACAAGGATCATCTGTGAAGTGGCTAATAGGATTAATCAGGAGCCTTTGCATGTTATAAATTATCCTATTGGACTTGCATCTCGAGTGAAGGAAGTCATCTCTTGCTTAGATCTTTGGTCCACTAGCGAAATTAAGATGATAGGAATTTGGGGACCTGGTGGTCTAGGTAAATCAACTATTGCAAGAGCTATGTATAATTCGATCGTTGATAATTTTGACGGCTTATGTTTTCTTTCCAATGTAAGAAAACAATCTAAAATACCGAATGGTTTGTCACATCTTCAGGAAATGTTATTGTATAAATTAATCATGGAGAAAGATCTCAAATTGGGAGATTATCATGAAGGAATACCAATAATAGAACATAGGCTTAGTCAAAAGAAGATTCTTTTGATTCTTGATGATGTTGATGAATTGGACCAATTAGAAGCGCTTGCTGGAAGTTGTAATTGTTTTGGTTGTGGAACTAGAATCATCACCACCACTAGGGATAAGCAATTGCTTGTAAGTCATGATGTTGAAAGCATTTATGATGTCAAAGAATTGAATTACGAGGAGTCTCTTAAGTTGCTTAGTTGGTATGCCTTTAAAAAGAAAAATATGGATTCCACCTACATGGAGGTTTGCAATCGTGCAATACATTATTCGTGTGGATGTCCATTAGCTTTAGAAGTGATTGGTTCTAACTTGCGTGGTAAGGAAGTCAATCACTGGAGTTCTGCATTGGATCAATTTAAGACAACACCGCATCAAAGAGTTTTGGAAGCCCTAAAATTAAGCTATGATACTTTAGGGGATGTTGAGAAAAAAGTTTTTCTTGATTTGACTGTCTTGTTCAATGGTAAAGAATTAGAAGATATCAATTATACCCTGTTGTGTATTCATGGAATACAGCTAGAATATGTTATTGAAGCACTAATTGATAAATCACTTATAAAGATTGAAGGAGATCATGTAACAATGCATGACTTGATAGAAGATGTGGGTAAAGAGATTGTTCGATAAGAATCACCACATAAGCCGGGTGAACATAACAGGTTATGGTTCTATCAAGACATTCTTCATGTCTTACAACAGGACACAGTAAGATCTCATATTCACATATGCATATCCATTTTGTTTTATTTAAAATTTGCTCATGATTTGTACATATCTAAATTTTGAAATTTATTTTGTGTTCTTCATTTGAAAAGGGAACTAACAAGGTTGAGGCCATAATTCTAGATTTACCAGAAGGTATGGAAGTACAATGAAGTGGAGAGGCATTCATGAAGATGAAAAATCTTAAAATGCTTGTGATAAGAAAAGCATGCTTTTCTGAATGTCCCAAACATCTCCCAGACAGTTTAAGATGGATGGAATGGAAGAATTTCCTTTCAAATTTTTACCATATCATATGCGCCCAACAGAGCTTGCTTATCTAGACTTGTCCTTTAGTTATTATGAATTGCTCCAACCATTTGATAAGGTGAGTAAATATCTACCGCTTGCACTTTCTTTTCTTTCTTTGCCTAATTCTAAATGATATATGATATTTGTTTTGTAGAGGTTCCACAGTTTAAGTCACATGAATTTTAGAAATTGTAAAGTTATACAGCAAATACCAAACTTATCTAGAGCTTCTAGTTTAAGAGAATTGTTGCTCGATGGTTGCACAAATTTAATTAAAATTTATGATTCAGTTGGATGTTAAATAAATTGAGAAAATTAAGTGCCATGTGATGTAAAAAGTTGAAAGTTTTACCACCTGGCCTTAGGATGACGTCTCTCCAGCGTCTCAACTTCTTCGGTTGATCAAGTCTCGAGAATTTTCTGGACATAGTAGTCATGATGGAAGAAATGCAAAAACTTGATTTAGACAGGACAACAATTACGGAATTGCCATCTTCAATTTGCAACCTCACTGGACTTAAAATCTTAAACATGGAGGAGTGTCCTAATCTTAAGCAACTACCAGCTAGCATTTGTATATTGCCAAACCTTTGGAAGCTAACAGCAAATGTTTGCGAAAGAATAAGGCATTTTAAGATATGTGAAGGTCAAGAAGAAGCAAGTTTAAGTTGCTCAGCAATGTCTTCAAAATTAGAATTTTTTCATTTCTCATATTGCAATTTACCAGATGACTCTCTTGCTCTTGGTCTCCCTCACTTTCCAAATATGATACGTTTAGATCTAAGTTTTAATAATTTCACAATTCTTCCCGAATGCATTAGAGAATATCACAATTTGAAATATCTTTTGTTGGATAATTGCTAGCAACTTTAGCATATTCGAGAGATGCCACCAAACTTGGAAAAATTCAGTGCCATATGTTGCAAGTTGTTGACTAATTTTTCTACAAGCCAAGTATTAAAGCAAGTGTCTCTCTTTCCACCAGTCATTCTCTCTAGTTATATGTACATGCATATTCTTCTATTACTTATATGTTAGCTGGCATTTTTTTTGGGTAATATGCAACGACAGGCACTCAACTTTCAATCGGGGAAAAGAAACTTTATTTTGCCAGGAAAAAAGTTCCTAGGAAGGCTACACAATTGTAGTCGAGGAAATTGTATGTCATTTTGGGTTCGTAACATGTTCCCAGCCATGTTTCCATGGATTCTTGTTAAAGATGATCAGGAATATGTCCACAATTACAAATTCTCTATGCACATCAATGACATCAAACTAGATATTTCTTCTAAGTGGCTTTTATTATCAATAATAAAGACCGATCACATATATGTGTGTGATATGCAAAGCATATTTCACAATATTGAACTCCATGTAAATAGGTGGAACCAAGTGAAGGTTTCCATTGAGAGCAAAACACGAGAAATTTATTTTGGAGTACATGCATGCAATCTACAAAGTAACTTGGAAAATATTCAGTTCATGAATCCTCAATGATATGTTGATCACAACTTGTGGCAAAAAATACAAGAACAACTGGAAGATTCATATGAATTTGAGGAAGATATGAGTTTGGACATGGATTTTCAAGGTATTTTTTCCCCTTCAATTCTCTTTCTCTTTGTGCTACCATTGATATTCTTTCCCATACTATGCATACTTTTCAACATAGCTATTTTGCAAGTCAGACGATACTATAACAAATATGGGAAGTACCTTTTTTTATTCACTCTGACAAATAAAAATATTATCTTAAATCACATCTCACATAATAATCAAAGGGAAATATGGGAAATACCTTTTTTATTCATTGGTCATATCTCCAAATTGGAGTGTTCCTATCATGGTAATGTCATAAATTTTCCTATTGAATTTACAAGTGTTCTGCTAATGGATTTTGTTGAGGTGTTAGATAATCACCAAGTTATCATTTCCCCCTCTCTTGAGATGCGCACATGTTGTTTGATAAATAGCCCCAATGACTTATGTGCCTTGCTCATTAAATTTGGTGATATATGTCTTGATCGTTTTAAGTTGTTACTAGTAATCCCTTTGATAATGGATCCTAGCCCCTACATCTCACTTCTATATCATCTATGTAGTTGCATTCAAGTTGGGTTTCGGATTGGGCATTTACATGGCTTAATTGCCTTCACTTTGCCTATTAGATGTTATGCTCTGGAGCTCCAATTGCAATCCCATAAATTTGTGCCTTCATGCCTTGTAAAGGCACTAATTGCTATTAAGCTACAACATAAAGGGAGAGCATATATGTGTGATGCGAGACTCATGTGGTAACTTATATTCAAGTTCTTAAAGGATTTATTATATTGCTGCAAAAATATGGGTTCTTTGTTAACCATTTTAGTGATTTTTACCTTGTTATTAATGGTAAAATTCTCAACAAATTGTTACTAGACAAGGATTCATTTTGGACTATGAGGCAATGTGGTGGAAAAGATTTTGGAGCCATTTTGTCACACAATTTCATTTATGCTCGTATAGCTGAGTTTGCTTTTTTTTTTTTGGATAAGCAAATTTTAGGAAAGAAATTGGGCTCACCCACGATCCAAGGGCTGAGTTTGCTATTAGAGATGAAATAATTAAAGCTGTCATTGTGCTCCACTGTGGGTTCCAAACTTTACTTGAGTCCTTGCAATTTGAGCAAGGTCTTGGCGAACTTAATGAATATGCAGTAAATTTACATCAGTTTGAAGGTCTCTATTGCTGCGGACACAATAAATGTTGGCCAGATGAACAAGTTGCATCTAAATTTTTCACTAACGATGGACCCTTGTTTCTTGTCCTTTTTCAACTTGCACATGAATTGGTTTCCTATATTTTTATTACTGTTTATGAAGTTGTCAATTGGCTTCAAGCTATATTTTGTCCATATTTTGAGGAGATGAAATCTAAAATTGCATTCCTTCCATATGGTTATTCCAAACTCTTTCTCTTAAGGGTGGCTTACTGGAAGCAATATGATGCTTTCTATTTCGCTTTCAACGCCAGGCCCATGGAAAAAATGTATTCAACTTTCTCAAGATACCTTTTTACTTGAAGATGGAAGAGTCATTATTATTCAACCTTCTTCTCGCAACATTTTGAACAGCAACTTATTATTAGAAGGACAAATTCTACTAAAGATAAATGCTTGGTGCTTTTGGATTGCCAATGGAATTGCATCATGCATTCATGACAAGGCTTCTTGGGTCACTTATATTTTCATTTTTGGCAATTGGAATGGTTTGGATCCCCCTACAGCACAAGTCTTTATTTGGATCATGGTATAAGGAGGATGCCTTAAAAACAGACCTACATTTTATATTGGGTTGCAAGAGTTCAATAATCAAAATGGATGCAGGCCTTTCAACACTGTTTGGATGCCTATCTCCTGCTACTTGACATGGCCGAATGTTCTCATTATGGAGGTGTCAAAGTTCCAGGCCTATAAAGACTAATACTGAATTATTTTGTTACTGCACGGTCACAGTACTTAGACCTTGATGACAAGGTCGATTTTAAAGGCAAGGGTAAAGTAATGAATGGGCTCAACATAAAATGGGCTGTCTGTGAACTTAAGACTGATGGACCACAAGATGCAGTAATTGGGCTTATAAGGAGTGGAATAGGGTATTTAGATGGAGGAACATGGGGGCTTACGGCAGTTTTTATCGTTCTCCTCTCTTCTCTCTGACCATTGTCCCTGTGACTATGGAGTTTCTTCTGTTCTTATTCCCTTCCTATAGCCTTTGTAGCATCTTATCTTATATGTACTGCTTCTATCTTTTAGCATTACAATTGTAAGACTAGTTTTAAATTCATATGAGTATTATAGCCTCTGATCTATCTTGCAATTGTTTTGGTTAATGTTTCCTTATAAAGTGGTCACAACAAGTCCATTTACATGCAAGAATAAAACCAATATATTCTTAGAAATAGTAGAGCTCAAATCTGACTATAAACTGTGTGATTAGCTCGCACGAAGCATAAGCTGAATAGCCTGGCATCATATAGATCTTTTTAGCAAGAAATGGTTTTCTCTGTAGAGCTCAAATTGTACTTTTTTGGCCCTCTCTTTTAATTTGTTCATATACTTATATCTCAATTATAACATTTTGACCATTGCCTTGTATATCTCTCAGTGTGGCGTGATGATATCTCTTCTTTTGTTGGACGAAGGGCATTCGTGAGCTTTGAAGGCAATGATGCCCGTAGATTCATGAAGTCTCTGTATAGTGCCTTGGGTTCCATTGGGATAGAGGCATTCCAAGATGCTGAGAGCATGAGAAGTGGGCAAGAAGCCCGACTAAATGCGCTCAAAGCAATTGAAGAGTCTGAGATTTGCATTACTTTATTCTCACCAAACTATGCATCTTCCAAACAGTGTCTTGTAGAACTTCTAGCGAGTCTTGATGGTAGAAGAACACAGGGCACGTGGGTTGTTCGAGCTTTCTACTAAGTACCACTTTCAGTCGTCCGGGATGGTGAAGAAGGAAGTATTATGAGAGCAATAGCTACGCTTGAAGCTGGATTCTCTGATGACATGAAAGTAGTACGGACGAGGAGTTGGGCTCTGTCTGATTTATGCTACGTTGCTTCTAATGGAATAGTGATATATAAGGGGTACGTTTATACTATTTCTTTCTAATTTGTTCCTAGCTATTAGAGTTTTACATTAACCAAACCTAAATGTTTGTTATTTAATTTACATCAAAATATATATAGCTTAAGCTATTTTAAATGTACTCACCACACACTTTCACAGTAGTAGTGACTAACACTCTAACCATTCGATGTAAGATTCTAGTACTTTTAATACTGGCTAGTTTAGATTCTGAGATGCCTGTTATATACTACTCCGGTTCTAAATATAAGACTCATTTTGTAATGTAATTTACATTACAAAATAGGTCTTATATTTAGGACCGAAGGAATATAAGTTTTTCAATAAAAGGAATAGCAGATCGCAACACATCACATCCTTGACAGTTGACTCATTTTCTATTGTGGGTGACAAATTTTTCAAACAAAGTTGCATCTAATAAATTGTGCTGTTTTATAATTCAAATTGCTTTATGTTTAACATAAAAACAAGAGAATATTTTATTCAAATGATGACTCGTTTATGCTTTCTGGTTACTGTGCTGGATACTTGTAGTTGAGCAGAAACTTAGGTGACGAGATCCGGCACATTGTTGATGTCTGTTGCACATTACTGAGACGCGGCCGGCCTACTGCACAAAGCTGACCACCTTGTTGTATTCAGAAGAGAAATGGCTTTGGATTTAATTTGATTTCCAGTCAATTAGATGCTGCTGCAAGTTTCTGTTTAGATATTAGATAGAGAAAGTTCAGACCAATCAAATTCTATTTTGAAATTTCTTTCGCTTGAAAATATCATTTGGCGCATCGCATAACATGGCCAACAGGTAGAGGGTACGCAGGGTGAATTGCCTGTTGTAAAATGTCAATATTTTAGAAGGTATTTGATTTAGCTTACTTTAAGTAACTTTACACTATTATATAAGGTAAATATGTAAGAATGATATATTCTTATAAAATGAAAATATTATTATTTTTTAGATAGACCCAACCCACCACTAACATTATTGTTCTATTGGCTATATGTTCTTCAATTACATACTATAAACTAATATGTAAGTTGTTTAGAATAGCCTTGATTAATTAGAGAATATTCTCACCATCAAATACATCATATATAAAATTAGTTTATTGATTTGCATATATTTATTTATAAGGGCGTATACACATATTTTAAATTTGAAAATTTTATTTTATCATACACAGTCTATTATTTAATGGCCTTCCTTTATTTTATAAAACTGTTTAAAAAATTATTCGTAAAAAATTAAGAACAATATATAAAGCTTAATCGATTTCAATCGCATTTCATAGCTCAACTTGTTAATGTGAAATGGTAAAGTTTTCACGTTGACACATGAAATTCGTTTCCCAATAATTATCAAATTTAAAAACAATAAATGTCCATCAAGAAGAAAGAAGCAACAGCTTGGTATGAACTTGAATTGTTGGACAAAAATTCCTAGTCAACCTCCGAAGTCTTCCCCAGCCAAGTCTTCTTGGTCTTTTCTTGTGTAATTTATAATAAACATATATAATGTTTCAATAGAACCCATGTTAATTCCTGTCTTTTGTCAGGTCAAAGGAAATTATAATGTTCCCGTTCCATGAAACCTTCTCTAATCTTCACTTCTTCTTTTTTCCTTTTTACCACCACACTGTTATTTATAGGATGGACCGATGGAGATAGAACTTTTTGTTTTCTTTTTTTCGAGGAATGTTTGAATTAGCTTCTTGAAAATCTTTTTATAGATTTCGAGATAATTAGTAATTTTATAAATTTTGAGATAACAAGTATTTTACCTAAATTTGTATGAAAATATTTTTCAAGTACTACTTTCGACTTTAATATAAGAACTCGTTTGACTTTATTTTGATCCTAATTATAAAACACCAATCCATTTTGTTTATTATATTTATTTATTTATTTAGAATAGTTCTTATAATAATGGTAGTTCTAACCAATATACTTGATTAATAAGGATATTTTAAAAAGAATAATACTTATTTATTACACATAATTAATTTTTTTAATTTATTTAAATTAATTAATTACCTTTTATGTTAAAGACCAATGTAAGTATTTGTTATTATGTTGCCAATTTTGGAAGAAAATTGGAGAGTATCATATAGATATGAGGATTTTTTTTTTTTTTTGTTGACCAGACACATACCCCTCAAGCTTGAATCTTCCGCCTTCAGTTCTTCACTTTTCAGAGAGGTAGTATGTTTTATTTTTTGAGAAAACCATATTGAAGGTACTTATACTTTCTCTCAATTTTTAATTTGGCACCTATGTGTTTGTTTTCCCTTTAATTAAACATTTAATTTTATCTTTTTAGCAATATTAGCTCTTATAACTTTGTTCTATTGATATTTTTAGTCTCTACATAAGGATTAATGATGTTAATAGAGCAAAATTAAAGATTTAGTTAAAAACAAAAAACACATTGGTACTAAATTGAAAATTGAAAAAAAGTATAAGAGCAAAATAGAAAGAGGTAGTACGTTTTAACATTATACCCTTTTTTTATTTATTTCTTTTCTGTTTACAAAAAATTATTCATCTTTTTCAAAAATATTTTTAATCTTATATTTTATAAATATTTTTACACATGTAGTAATGATTAATTAATTATATTAAAGATGAGAGATAGTGTGTTGTTATAAAAACTAGTTGTGAAAAAATGTAATAGAATTTCATGTTTAAAATCTTTGAAGCAAATTAATATTTTTCCATTGGAAAAAAATAATCATTTTTTATAAACATATTTAATCTTATAATTTATGAATATATATACATATTAATTATTTATTAATTATATTATCTTATATATTATTAATTATGTTAGTAAAAATTATTTTATTAACAATTTTATTTCTTCAAATAAAATATATTATAAAATTTATCCCTTATATAATTATCATATTAACTATGCTCTTTTTAGTAATTTTCACATGTAAAAAGTGCTTCTAGTAATAATTATCCAAATACTCTCACTTCTCAGATTCACTTTTCACAAAATCTATTCTTCACAAAATTTATTCTCTCCAAAATCTATTCTCCAGAAACTATTCTCCAAACCAAAATTGGGTTTCATCCAAACACCTCCTCAAATTTGAACCTATTTGGGTGCCCCCAAAATCATAGTTTGGGAGGCAAAACCATGGTTTGGGTGGGATGTCACCCAAACAATATCAATTTTGGAGAAATAATCCGAAACCATGGTTTGGGCCGAAACAATGGTTTCAGGAGAAGTAAATTCATTCTACTTCTGGCTCAAATTGAAGAGTATGATTGTGCCTGTTAGAGTAGATAATATGACTTTAACATCCCTCAATTATTTTTTATAAACATATTTAATCTTATATCTTATACATATATATATACACATATTAATTATTTATTAATTATATTATCTTATATATTATTAATTATGCTGGTAAAAAAAATATTATTAACAACTTTATTCCTTCAAATTAAAATATATCATAAAATCTATCTTTTACGTAATTATCATATTAACTTATGCCATTTTTAGTAATTTGTATATATAAAAAGTGTTTCTGATAACAACTATCCAAACACTCTCACTTCTCAAAATCACTTTTTCACAAAATCTATTCTCCCCAAAATTTATTCTCTAGAAGTTATTTTCTAAATCATTATTTGGTTTCATCCAAACACACCCTCACCCCAAAATCTATTCTCCAAAAGTTTTTTCCAAAATCATATTTTTGGGCCAAAACCATGGTAGCAGATATTGGCCCAAACTTTTGCTACGTCTCCAAATTAAGTAGAGGAAGGATGGGCGAGATAGCTTGATCCGAAGTAAGCATAATGCCATCCTGAGGAAAATAAGGAGATGGAAGGAAGATCACTCCATGATTTTGAAGTTAAAAGATCTGACTAATGTGGTTGTGGCAGCTAACCAATTGATTGAATTGTTGGAAAGTATGCTGCATTTGAACATAGAAGAGCAGGGGTACAATTTTGTGTTGATGGATCTCAAAATTCTAATGGATAAGGCATGACTTAAGGTTGAGTTCAAGCAATTCCTAGTTCAAAATAGGCATCCTTTTGATCATAAATCTACCCCCTTCTAGTCCAATGAATTAAAGGACACCATTCGTGAAGGTAGTTTCAGCAAAGCATCAAAAAAGCATATCTTGGATTTAGTCCGTCCAGAACTGCTCCAACATATTAAATGTATTGCAAGCTTAATGTTTGTGTTAGACTATAGTTGAGAATGTCATGATGCCCACAAAAATGTTCGAAGACATGCCTTAAATGAGTGTCTGCTTCATCTTGAAAGGGAAAGATTGAGCATTGAAAATGTTTCAAAAAGGGAATGGGATAGTTTGAACTCCAAAATCAAAGGATGGATTTAAAATCAAAGGATGGATTTATCAAGTGAAAATATTTATTAGGGTGTATATTGCAAGTGAGAAGTGGCTAAGTGAGCAGATTTTTGGAGACACCGAGGCCAGTTTGATTTGTTTTGTTGGTGCATCAAAGGCTTTAATATTATGGTTTCTAGAATTTTGTGAAGCTATATCTGTTGGTACTCACAATTCTGAGGGAATATTTCGTTTTCTTGACATGTACCAAGTTCTGGCAGATCTAATACCAGACCTAGATGCCTTGTATTCAGGTTAGGTTGGTTCTTCAATTAGAATCAAGTGTGACGTGGCTCTAAACAGATTAGGTGCTTGTGTGGGGTCAATATTTCTTGTATTTAAAAATACCATTGCATCAAATCCATCTCGAGCTCCTTTCCCAAGTGGTGGAATTCATCCCCTAACCTATTATGTCATGAGCTCTATTAGTTATCTCTTCGACTACAATAACACCCTTAATATACTGAATGGTGAAGAGGAATTAGAGAATGATATTTCACTGTAGCACTCAATGAGCCATGGCACATCACAAGATAGTGACATCTTGGGATCTTCCCACAGTAGTGTTTCCTCAGTCACAATTCATTTTCAATCAATCACTTCAATTTTGGAATTGAAGCTTGAGAACAAGTCCAAGTTACATAAGGAAGCTGCTTGCCAACACCTGTTCTTAATCATCAATATGCATTATATGGCTCAAAGGGTTCAAGAATCTCAATTGAAGCATATTTTTAGAGATGAATAGATTCGAAAGCACGTCTACAAGTACCAGCAACTGCATGGAACTATGAGCAAGTTAGTTGGAGTTTAGTTCTCTCTTTGCTTAAGGATGAGAGAATTCAATTATCTATGTCCCGTAATCTTCTCAAGACGAGATTACGAAACTTCTACGTGGCCTTTGAAGATATTTACAGGATCTAAACTGCTTGGGTGATCCTAGATCGTTTACTGCGTGAGGGCATGCAGATCTCTATATCCCAAAAGCTAGTTCATGCTTATCAAGCATTCTTAAGGAAGTATTATAATTACGTAGGTGACAAACACATTAAATACAATGTTTGCGATATTGAAACTTCCCTTTTGGAATTTTTGGGGGATCCCATAAGTCGTGGCCACATTCCAAAAGGTTTGTCTGACCCTGCTTCTATTTGAATTCTTCTAGGAGTGGTATGCTTGTGAAAATCATTCTTAATTCCATGTTAATGCTGGCTTTTTAATATGCAACATAAACTTGGGAAATAAAACCTTTTTTGGGTTTTAAGGTTGTAGACTTGACTTTATAGGTATTATTGAACAAGTGTATTCCTCTTTGTTGTTGTTCATTTTGGATCTTCATCTTGGTTCATCTTAAACCCAATCTACGGCCAATCTATGACCTTAATCGGTCGTTGACCATAAAGTTGTGCTCGATTATCGCCTTTGTATTTGAAGTTTAACTGCCCTTAATTGTCGCTTTGGGGTTACTCCAAAAATTAACCGAATTAATGCAATATAGTGCAAAACTCGGGTCGTTTCACTTTGAGGAGCCGAAAACGAAATTAAATCCTAGTAAATGAATGTAAGTAACCTAAACTATAA